ATATATATATATATATATATATATATATCCAGAACAACATCGTGGCGAACAAGCTCGTTTTCAGTTATTTGTAAACATACCATTACATAACATTAAAGATTACTAACAATAAGAACGAAACAGGGAATGAGAAATTAGAGTCCTAATGATTCAGCTGTGGCTCCAATCATGCGTGCGTGTGTTTGTGTGAAATCGATCACAGTGTCAAAAGTTCATGTGATTGCACACGTGTTGGAGTGGCTGAAGTGGGCCCGGGGAGATTGAGATTGGAGCCACAGCTGAATCATTAAGACTAATTTTTCATTCCCTGTTTCGTCCTTATTGTTAGTAACCTTTAATGTTATGTAATGGCATATTTACGAATAACTTAAACCGAGCTTGTTCTCCACGCTGTTGTTCTCAATGTGTTCTGTGGGATTATTGAAACGATATATATATATATATGTAGAGAGAGGGGGGAATTTGGGATTACAAATCGTTTGCGGTACTACACGATATGAAGTAGCGCACCATACAATAAGGTCCCGACCGAACCAAAATGTTTTTGAGCGTGATTGAAGGAAAGCAGTTCATCTCGTAAGAGGTGTGGTGGTGGTGGCCAGTGGATCTGGGAGTCTGAAGCACACCATGGTGGTTTAAACTTCTTAACCGACGTCAATCAGAGTATTTCTGCGATCACGTGATCAGTTGTCTTATAATCAATCTGGTATGGGTACCCCAAATTCATCATCAACAAATCGGCCCCAAATGTAAGGTTTCATAGTTTTGTACTCAAGTTTGTTTTTCAAAGTTTCAGTCAGCTGAATACTGACGAAACTGCCCTCGGAATAACACTATCCAATTTCCTGCTAAGACCGTACCCAGGAATTTCAAAGACCGCCTCGGATGAATCTCTCAAAGGCTTGAAAAATATAAAAAACACTTGAGGGGTTGCAAACAAAGTGGTTTATGGATCACTCTCACTTTGTCCATGACTCTGAATGCTTAGTGGTGATCCTAGGCAAATATAAATTAACGGTCGACCGAGCTGTGAGTCTCCAGGTCATGAAGTATGACAGCTATTACGTGGACGGTTTACCTGAAGCGGGTGAGTTTTGCTTCACTAAATACAAAGACGCGACGAAAAGCAATTTTTTTCAGCAAAATATTCCTTAGTTGCATCAATAATTGTCCGACCCTGGATAAAGAAACTCATCTCCACCTCCCTGATGCGATATATTTAGCATTTGGTTGTGCTAGAATCGAGTTGATACCGCCGCATACTTCATGTGTGCAGTAAGGACAACCCATAGTGAGGTAGACGAAATCATCTAGAAACTTAAGCATATCAGATACCAGTTTTTTATGCATACAGGATGGTATAGCTTACCATATTTTTATTTTTTGGTTTGCTTTGAAAATATGTCTGCTTGTTGTTTTGGGGGCCATTCGGAGAACTCATTTGTCAATATCAAACTGATCTACGCTCAATTAAATAAACAATATAAAATTGATTGACAGTAGTTGTTGTTGACTACATTCAACGCAAAATTGCCTTCCTCTTGTCCATGCCAGGATGAGAAAATCCAGTGTTCCTCTGTCCCGACAACACTCGTGACCCAGTCAGATACAGCAGTTGTTTTTGTCCCCCGATTACTTCGGTTTGTCCCACTATGTATGCTTCAGTTTGTGGAATTATTTCCATCCGACGGTTGTGGTTAACACAAGACAATCAAAATCAATCAATCAAAATGCTTAAACCCTCTCAGAACGGCTAACACTGTCATTCTGATCCGTTTCTATCGATGCATTCGTCGCAAGTGTTTCTGAAAACTATACTTTGTGCCGACCAGTGTTTAAAATCAGTTTTCCCTCTGTGCCAGCTACCAAATGAAACAACAAACACACTTGATGGCGGTGAACAAAATCTTGGAAACAAAACGATGTTTCTATCAAAGCTACATTGCTGTATGAGGACAGCGGAAACATGAGTATTACATACACTTGAGGTTTTCGGGGAATCTAATGTCTGATCAAAATAGAGTGAGTGTATTAGTGATTGCATCGACTACGGCCAACAGTATCTTCTTTGTTTCTCCCTATCCACAACGAACTGTCCAACAAAAAGGGTAACCTAAATGTGTTAAACATAACAAGTAACTGGTGTCGTATGGATTCAAAAATGCATCAGAAATCGCTACACCCCGCAGACGTTCTATAGCGCAAAGCGTATTTTTGTTGTTGACTGTGAGCAACAAGTTCCACAAATATTCCAGGACAATTAAAGCAGATTGCGCTTCACTTGTAATTGCAGTTCCATTTTATTCTCAAGCACACTGCACCAGATCGAAGGTTTCAGGTTCCTTCTGGGTGGTCAAAACCTCATCGTATTCGGAACAGCACTTCATGTCAAGCCACATGGATGCGTTGATAAAACGTATCACGCGCACAACCGATTTGCTTCGGATAGTGTAGTTCAATACCTAAGAGAACTGTGAAAATGTTGGAACCAGCAGTTCCTCTGACGCCCGAATTCCACTCCCCCATCTTCAATCATTTCCAGCTTCTGCATTGTCAATGTTCTGCTTATCCAAATAATGTTTGCTTTCTGTTATTCCATTTCATCGCTCACGCCGATCAGTGCCATAGTTTGTCTTCCATAACCCTGATCGCTTATATGCCAACTTTTTGACATTCCAAGATGCTATTCTAACGTTAGGTGGTTTGGTGCAGGTGCAGGACGCAGAGGTGTATAATAATTCACAAGAAAGAAGCTGCGGAGGTCCGAATCCCCATTATAGAGCACACGCGTGTATTGAACTTGCCGAGTAACATTGGACGTTAGGCCGAGTAATGCCTATGGTACTACTGGTTATGGTTTCTAGGGTACTGGTGAAATTGGACGGCTGTTACCAAATATCATGAATACGCTNGTTACCAAATATCATGAATACGCTTATAATCACGATACTGAGTATAGTTCGAATTATGCACTTCTAGTTCACGAGTTACATTCGGATATCACATTGATCCGTTTAATTGGCCAAAGGTCATGAGGAATAACCGTGGTAATGATGTTGATCAACAATGAGGACATCGCATGTATCGATCCATTTCAGTAGGCAACGGCAAAAACAAAGAACCAAATCAAGTTCAAAAGCTGCCAAAACGACCACGCAGGTTTAACAGGGGAGGGATGAACGACGTTTAAGTCGGTTGATCAAGTATAGATTAACCGAAACAGAAAAAGTAAAAAAACCTGCAGATGACATAAAACTGGGAAAGGTCACGAAAAATGCTGACTGGATGTTGACTTGAAAACGTCACAACGATTTGAGAAACTTTAAATTGTCGGAATGTTCACTTGACTTTTCTAGTGTTCACACAGCATTCTCAAAATTAATAGTTGGCTCAAATCGACTGAGTGGTAAATTTACACGATTCGGTCATGGATTGTTGACTACGAATGAGCCAAAAAAGAAGAGTTGTTTGAGTAAAAATTACCAATATTATTATTCGGGTCGGCAAACACGTTAACTGATTTTTCACAAAATAATTAGGCTTGGCTCGAACTAAGGATGCCTGATTTTAGCTAAAGGTCAGAACAGGAAGCTACATCCGGTTTCGCACTGATGAATGCCGCGAGCTTTGCAGCTCTACAGGAGCAGGAGCGGCAGCTCGGACTACACGATCACTGGCGAGTCCGATATCATTATACTTGAGTATTTGGAGTGCCCCTGATTTAGTTATAAATCAAGGAATATTTTGCGCTTTTTGGCGACCTATCACTAATGGCACCGAGGAGGACATTTATGTTTGCATGCATGTAGGAACCATTCGAATCGTGAAACATCAAGATAACCATGAAGGAATTTGTTGTACACTTTCAATTTACTATTAACCCTGACCATGTTCTATTTCCATACGGTCCTGATAAGAAGCCTATTTGGTTTTAATATTACATAGTTCTCTAGTCGAGAGTTTAGCACCCTTCAGACTCTAAATAAGATATATTTATCAGGATATCGATTGGAAACATTCCTCTTATTTTTTTCTATTGACGAAATTGACGGCAAAACCAAACTCAGAACCATAATCGGGCTGATAGACATTGTGATCTTGAGAAGATTCACTTCAAATCAACAACGGCGAAATGAACTAATTGACGCCAAGACATCCTGTACGTGAGGGTGTTTTGTCNCCACGAGCACTAGTAGCCTCCTCCCGGCTACGTAAGCAAGAACGCAGACAGTGCACAGCGAACGTGTACTTGACACACAGGAAGCAAGTCAATTTACAAGTTTTACTCTGATGCTTATATGTGACTCGAAATAGCATCAATTAATGCAAGAAAAAGATTGTGCCAATCAAGCACACAGTTAGCAAAGTTCAATCGGTCATAGACCACGGATCGGACGGACAGAATGAATATTTCCGTATGACGCAATATTATTGATTAATTTCCGCGAGATTGCTATTGATTAGAGATGCTCCTAATTGAAAATACTCGAAAAATAGTCAGTTTTAGGTAAAAATAGTCTGTTTACCTAACAGAATGTCACCGACTCCAATAGTGAGAGGGAATTTTCAATACCCTGGATTTGTCGCTCGTGTATAACGGATGTAAAATCTAATGGGATGTGCAGCGATTTCAAATGGGCTGTAGTTCCTAAACACCTTTCCACTGTCCTGCTGTTTAAGATTTTGAGCAGCCGAATAACCGATTATCACAGCACGAGAAAGTGATTTGTTTCGGCGGAAGCAGTGTAATGAACTCAAGAAAAGTTGTCGCAAAAATGCTCATACCATTCGTGGTTAACAACAAATTTAGATATGAGAACGAAGTGGAAAATTACATTGATGTAGCAAAACAAACAACCGGGTGATAATTAAGACAGATCCGTGAACTCAACCGCGCTCCTAACAATCCGGGAGCGTTCTAATGCACTCCGAATGGGGACCAGGCTAAATCAATTTAACCAAATTCTTCATTTTCTCAAATACCACGGGAATACTCTTACTTAGTCAAAGATGAAATCCGGAATCCAGGCTGGTGTTCGGGGTTCCTGTTTTCCTTCTCCATCATCCTGATTCGATGGCGAGTTCAGTCGTTTGGTTGAAGCGTTTCGTTCTTCCTTCCGCATTCCCGATTCGCGATTAGGCGGTCCTCCTCCCATTCGGTTTTGTTGCTGATGCGCTCGGCCGCGCATGAGTCCTCGACCAGGAAAATACGGCTACGGGTTCGGAATAAACGAAAAGTGATAGAGACGTGAGGGACCACACATAATCGAAAATACCATTATTCGTACAAGCAAATTGAACAAATAGTGATACTACAGTAAAAAGGCTATCAGTTTGATTTTGAATAGGATGATAAAACATTTTTGAGCCTGATAGAGCTGCACAAAATTGACTGAATGGAACAAAGTTAAATCATAGATTTTATAACGTCTCTCTAAGAACGGGTTCAATTTTATTCAGTGAGGGATTATTGACCAAGACGAAATAAAAGAAAATTTCCTTCGTCCTCTGAGTTTGGGGGCTAATAAGACACCGAATGATGAGTAGTGAAAACGAATGTATCCTCTGGCATGATAGGTGCACAGCATCAAATCCGTCATTTTTACGTTTCAAAATAATATTAATAATAACAATGGCAAAAGAAATGATGGGTTTAGGAATATGACCAGTGCAAGATTTATGACATTTTTCATCTGAAATTTCACACCGGATGTGATCGCATCAAACGTGATGAAAGATTTCTCGGCGAGCGATTTCATTTGTCAATGACGAATCAAATTTATGTAGCAGTAGTGTGAGCAGATGCCTACGCAAGCATTGTCGCAAAATGGGGAACCTAATAACAAGGAAATCAAATGCGGCCAGCTTAAGTGCGGTGCAAAAGTAAAACAACTTCAGCGATAAGCTTGAATATTCCCATGATAGCATTGAGAAAACGAGTCGCTGAGCAAACAATTGTTCTCGGATATTCCTAGCCATCCTCTTACATATGGAGCCAATGGCTAGTATAATGTAAGAATTTCTCCACTATATAATACGTAAGAGCATGATTAGGAATATCCGAAAACAATTGTTTCCTCACCGACTCGTTTTCTAAATTTCATTCGTCCTGGTTTTTGGTAAAAATACCGGTCAGACAAACCTTAACTTGACTTGGATATGCCGTATCAGTATGGTTATCGGTGAATGACAATAAATGAGGAACCGGAGTGTGGAGAGCACATTTTTCAATCCCGTATCCCACACTTTTCGCAAGTGCCTCAATGAGTATCTTCGATATTATTGTTAGCATTCAAATTTCACATAAACCGACTTCAAGCGACAGGACGTGCAAGCCCTAAATCAAACTGCACAAATAATTGGAAGCTACAAAAGTCGTATGGCAGATTTAAAGTTTCTATGTCCATGGCGAAAAGTTCAGTAGCCTCGGTGGGATTCGAACCCACGCATG